ATTCAAACCCAGGTCTTCTGCAAGAACAACCATTGCTCTTAACCGCCGAGCCATCTCTCCAGCCCCCTATTATTTTTATTTTACGTGTATGTGTGTATTGCCTGCATGTAGATAAGTGCACCCATGTAGTGCATTGCCTGTGGAGGTCAGAAGAGGCTGTTGGATCTCCTGCGACTGGAGTTACAGACAGTTGTTAGCTGCCATGCGGGTTCTGGGATTCGAACCCAGGTCTTCTGCAAGAACAATCAGTGTTCTTAACCACTGAGCCATCTCTCCAGCCCCGCCTGATATATATTTTATATATAAATATATATTTCTATATAGAATTGTTGACATTATTAACTGTTGTCATAGAATGCACTCTGCAAAGTATAAAACACGGTGTCAATAGATGATTAACAAACAACTTTGTGACTCCTCCTAGGCCAGGGCTTTTTTCACTACACTAAGCTGTCAACTCTGTAAAGAACTAGCACCCGTTAATAATGCACTGTGACTGGATAAGAGCTGAAAAGATGTACAACATGGACGACAAAGACATCCACAGGCCCAGTTTCACCTAGGATATGTCATACATCAAAGCTGTTCACTCAGCTATAGCTATGATCTTGGCTTCCAGGGACCTAATGTACAGAAGGGAAATTACAAAAACCACAGACCTATCTCCAAATAATTCACAGCTGAGCACCTCACTGCCCATAACTTCCATAGTTACTCAGAAATGCCTATCTGTATTCAAATATATTCTCTTTTTCAATTAGTTACCAAGCTTGTTTACTTAGGGAAGCGGATGTCTAAAGTCCTGCCAAACAGAGATCTGAATTAGGTTTTCTAGTTCTTCTAGGCCTCAGTCCCAAACAATTCTGTCAAAACACCCAGCTCTTCTGGCTTCTCTTGCTGTGCCAAACTGGAGCCTCAGGACACTATTGCCAATCCCAATTTGGCATTGCTATTCTCACACTAAAGGGCCATTTGCTTCTGGCAACACCACTCTACCCTTGAATAAACAACCTTTCCCTCCAGTCAATACTTGATTACTTGGGGCTGGAGAGATGGCTCAGCAGTTAAAAACACTGGTTGTTCTTGCAGAAGACCTAGACCTGGGTTTGAATCCCAGCATCCACATGGCAGCTAACAACTGTCCATAACTCCAGTTTCAGGGGATCCAACAGCCTCTTCTGTCCAGCACTGCACAACACGGGTGCACTTACCTACATGCAGGCAATACACTCATATACATAAAATAAAAATAACAAAAAATACTTTTTAAAAAATACTTGATTACCTTTAGCTGCAACTCTGTAGTTCAAACCTTTTTCCTAATTTGACATTTCTTAGTATAATTTGGCTTCTCAGCCACTTAAATTAGGTTTTCATTTTTCATTCTCCACTCCTCCTAAACATGGACCTTCTGGCAGAAGAAATGGTAATGAAAAAACTATTTTATGGTATCTCAAGCCTAAGTCATTATAACAAAATAATACTAATACTAATACTAATACTAATACTAATAATAATAATAATAACTTACTCCGTAAGTTGTAAGGGTCTATGTTAAATTATTAACACTGTCAGGCTCTCTTCATCACATTAACCTGTAAACACATCACCCCCCATGCATAGTCTCTACACCTGTCTCACCCAATTTCTCTTTGTTTTCAGAATTTTGCTAAGGAATAATTTTCCTGATCAGAAACATCTACATTTCTCAACAGAAACCATTCTACAACCGTGACTTTATTAAAGGAAAATGTATTCTGATGGTTTTATTGCCATTTTATATAATATTAGCATAAAACCTTGAGCTTCAATTATGTGGGTGTATGTGGGTTGTTTTTTTTTTTTTTTTTTTTTTTCCAGTGCTGGGAATTGAACCAAGGGTCTCATGTATTCTATCAACTGAGCTGAGCTATCTCCGGCCCTTGAGCTTAACTTTTTATGGTTTATTTTACTTTATTTCATTTTTTATTATTTTTATTTTTGTCAGGCAATGCCCACAAAGATCAGAGGAGGGTACTAAATTCCCCTGGAACTGGAGTTATGGATAGTTCTTAGCTGCCATGTGGGTGCTGGGACTTGAACCTGGGTCCTCTGCAAGAGCAGTCAGTGCTCTTAACCACTGATCCTGCTTTATTTTATGTGCGTAAGTTTTTTTTGTTTTTTGTTTTTTTTAAATATATTTTTGTCTTTTTGAGACAGGGTCTCCCTGTAGCCCCAGCTGGCCTGGAACTCACTATGTAGACCAGGCTTGCCTCAACCTTACAGAGGTTCACCTGACTCTCCTTCCAAAGTGCTGGTATTAAAGGTGTATACCACCATGCCCAGCGAGCTTAAGTTTTTAAACAGTCATGTTAATTTTTCAGCTTTACATTCCCCTAAGAATACAATCTTCAAGATGATTCCCATTAATAACCTTATCTCAAAGTGTAGAGTTTCATGACCTATATAGAAGGCATAAATCTACCAACAAATCACTGCATATCTTCAAGCATATAATTTGTTGTCAACCCCCCCCCCATC